GAGGAATATCTAACGTGCTAAATTTCCATACAGGACCTCTTTTCGCATTAATCCAAGACGACAAGGTGCTTGATCCTATCTACCCTTGCATCAAATGGTGTAGAAAATTGTGGACTGACAGGAAAAGCACTACACCTGTTGAGCTATTTACCCCCCCCCCCCCCTCTCTCCTGGCCCCTTCCTTGAACTATAAGCACCTGGAAAGACTTTCATCCAAAGCGAGGACACAAACAAAGAAACACGTTTCTCTCCGGCTGGCGTAGTTGCGTAACAAACAAAACAAAAACAAAAACTCCCGCAAATAATGTCTTGTGCGTGTGTGTGTGTGCGTGTGCGTAAGGGGGGGGGGGGTTGAGGGGGAGGAGTTAATTGCTTGTTCTTTTTGGGGCAGTGGAAGGGTTGGAGTTGTTGTTTTGGAGTTGTTTTTTATTTTTGTTTTGTTTTTGTTTTTGTTTTTGTTTGGTTGGTTGGGGTTTGTTGTTTTAGTAGAGGTTTTACGGTGCTCGCAACTGCATAATGTGTTTTTTGTTTGTTTGGTTTTTTTTGTTTTTTTTATGGTGGGGGGGGGGGGTTAATGTGAAAAGGAAAAAGAAATTAAGCAACATAGATTTGCATTAAACCAAACATAGCCTGGTGTGCTTGTCGTTTCAGTCGAACAAATCGGGTCACCGTGAGCCAAGTGAGATCACAACACGAGAAACGACAAAACCAAAGACACCCGATTAAAAGTGTGGTACACAGAAAGCAACATCAATTGACTAAAAAAGGCCTGGATGAATTGGATAAAATGATAGTGCATCCCGCCCACCATGTATCCCGCCTACGATGTCGTTCTTTCAATCTTTCTTGTGTTCAGAACCTGCAACGACTCACTGAGCACAATGCTGCAAACATAAGGCTCAAAATAACCTTGTCAATATTTTGACTCGAAAGTCTAAACAACAGCCAAACGCAGACTGGACACTTAATATATGAACAAGCGATTTGGGATCTTCCCTATAAATACCTAGGTAACTTAACATTTCTTCACCAAGCCACTGGTATTCCAGCTAACTACTCCACCAACTCAGCTTTCGACATAAGCGGCTACCTTAGGCATCGTCATGAAAATCACCATTATTATCGTCACTCTTCTAATCTGTGAGTATTTTTCTGAATGATATTCAAGCATGTTGTTTCGTGTCATCTTCAAAATATCTTGTAGTCAAAACTACAGGAAACAGGGTTCATTGTGAAAACACACTACGGCCGTAACACTCGTTACAACAGTGTACATTTTAAGTTGGAACTTCCGAACTCTTTGTCCGCATCCGAGAGGACTAAGAAAAGTGCGTTGAATTTAAGAATGTCATCGGCACCTACTTAGCCAAACATAATACAAAAAAATTGAGCTATTTATATTTATATAATATACTATGAGGATATGATATTTGAATACTGACTAAAAACCTTTACATTTTGTTGTGCTTTTTTATTCTTCCAAATGTTATTATGCATCAGAGTCATAATTAAATTGGTTTCAGGGTTAGTATACACATAAGGACAAGAAAGGAATCCTTGACATGAAAGGGGAAAAATCATACCACAACATTCCTTATTTTACTCCACGACAACCTTTAGTATGTGTTGATTTTGGTTTGTTGGGGGGGAGGGGGGTGTTTGTTTTTGGAGTTTTTTGCGTTATCTTTTCAGTATTTGATCACAGACATGTGCATTTATCTCCCCCAGGTTTTCTGATAGCCGGCGTGTTGGCGTCTAGCCACGGACGGCATTCCAGTCGACGAGGTAGTCAGCGGAACCTTGGCCGCAGTGGCTCCGGCGGCTCTGCTGGACGTATGAGTCACAGTGGACACAGTGGTTCTAGCGGGCGTAGTGGATACAACGGACGTGGATACAACGGACGTAGTGGTTCAAGAAGACATAGCGGTTCTAGAAGACATAATGGTTCTGGTGGACGCATGAGTAACCAGGGTGGCCGTGGTCGTGGAGGATATCGGAGCAGTTCCTCGGGTCGCCGAGGCGGTTCCAGAAGTCGTCACAGTTCATACGGACGTGGCAATTCCGGAAGATATCATGGATGATCTGAATCACTAGCAAACTTCCAACATTACTATTTTAACTTCTCATCCCTTTAATTCACTTTAATTAGTAAATTTTAATGTGTTTTGTAAGGTTCTATTACCTGTTCCAAATTCTACACCAGGAAAATCAATTCAGAATTATATCATTCATAACTAAAAAAAAAAAATTATTAAAAAATATAACAACTCGTAACGTAATATTAATTTTTCTAGTCTGTCAGCACGCTATATGTAATAGTTCTTTGTCTGAGAATTATGTTGAATTAAAGGAAACATCTTTTAAGCTTGTGTGTAAAGCAACTGAAAATAAAAGTAGCTTACCTGAGTAATACAATAGCCATTTTTCTTTTGAAAACGATCGTATTTATAGGCAGGATAAAAACTAACTTTCCTTTGTTGCTTTGTGATATTTGTAAACAGTCATTGCATAGTTTAGTTTCTCATATTTGCTTCAATTATCTGTACTCTATGTGCTTTATTATGCAATTATTTACTCTCGTGAAATTGCATGTCCTGGCGGAATTAGACTGTGTCTTACTGAACTTGTTGTTCTGTCATCATGTTTGCCTTACAAATTAAGGCATTAATTTGCTACAGAAAATAGAACAGTACAAGCGGAATTTTGATGTGCCACAATCCTAATTGTTGATGCCTTCTTGAATACAGCTTTTATAATTAACACAGGACTGTTCCCTCTCAAATTAATTTTCTGTGATCTTAAAGTACAATGAAAAAACCTACCCCTTTCATACTTTATGGAAATACACATAATACTGACCAAGGGAATACTTTTCACCGTCCACCTGCTGTAAGAAAAAACATACTCACACATACCACAGACGACAGTGGTCCTAAACCCTCAAGATTCTCTTTATCTATCTATCTATCTATCTATCTATCTATCTATCTATCTATCTATCTATCTATCTATCTATCTATCTATCTATCTATCTGTCTATCTATCTATCTATCTATCTTTCTATCTATCTATCTATCAAACAGCAAACAGTCAGCCAATATTTTGCAATGACTAACATTTTACGTAAACTTGAATACACAACATAGGTACTTAGATGTACGGCAATAATTCAACACAAACAAAATGAGCACCAAAATAAAGTGTGCTTTCACCAAACCATTATCCATTGAGAATCAGAACGTCTTTAATTGTGACAGCTATACCCAATGAAAATTAATTGGAAATTCCCTTTTTTGTAACATTCATATCAAATTAGATTGGGAAATTCCCATATAAAAGACACATTAAAACACGGCAAAGGTGCGAGTGTCAAGTTTGTTCAAAAGTAATAAATTATGTTAACAATCAGCGGACTTGACTGCTACTGCAGTGGGGGTTGCGTTTATGAACAAAGAGCGTGAAAAGAAAAGCAGCAGGGATCTTGCTATGAAGGCTGACTCAAAAATTGTTTGATAAAAGTTTTGAAACACCCCTCTCCCATGTGCAGAAGATATACGTTACAGAAAGATACATACAAGGCAAGCAGCTGTACTGTCATGTGTGAGCTCAGCCAATTACTTAGCATTTCATTAACTCAGGCCCAGCTGCTGTACTCATGTCCTTGAAGCAAAGATGAGCCACGACATCCTTGTCGGGTTAGCAAAAAAAGGGGTGGTTGGCAGGTGCTTCGGCGTGGTTTGCTCCTTCATTCCTATCAAACATCTATCACCCTGTTCTCCCCTCCTCCTTTTGTGTGCATGCTACAATCTTGTAATGTCTCTAATTTTCAGCAATTATAGTATGACCTTAGTGTGCTGCAAGGGCCGTATAACTCTTATTAAAACAAGAATAAACGTTGCAAAATCTAGTGGTAAAGACTCTTCTTATATGCTGGATGTCTTCCTTCAATTTCTTTTCAGTCCTTTTATGTTCCACATAACTTAGAACCAGTTCTTCCACCATAATCCATACCCCTTAACTCACATTTCTAGCTTGTGCAATCACAAAAATTTATTCAATGAACTGCCCTGCGAGAACACTTCGTCGGACCCGCTGTCACGCGACCAAGACCAAGCGGGGGAAAATGAAAGAGGTGTTTGTGGCTTACCCAGAACTTGGATACCAATGCAATTTAATCACTTCATTGAACCTTACTGTGAAAATTAAATCTGCTTTTACAGACTTCAAAAATTTCTTGCTAATGTTTTACATGTACAAACTTAAGAATTTTTTGAAGTTTACAAATGAAAACCAGGCATTACAAATGGGTTTCTTTGTGTGCATTAACCCAAGTACAAGGAAGAGTTCCAAGTTCAGTTGGTATTATGGAGTCCAAAATGCGTTTTTTGGCATGTTTTTTCCTAATGCAAAGACACGCCGAGGAGTACTTCTATGTGTAACTTTTGTTAAAAGTTATAAGGATGGTGATCATGTTAAAACTGGAAAAAAGTTCTAACACACAAGACTATAAACCTATTGATGGCCACGTATTTGAACGGGCTGAAAAGTTTACGGCGTTTCCGAATGGGAATATTAGAAATAGTCGACAGATGGAATGTTTTAGAACAGCTATAAAAATCATAATGTGAAATGTAATATTAAATGTAGTTCTTCTTTCATAACATAGCGAAATACATTATGATGGGGAATGGACGCTGTTATATTTCTAAGTCAAGTCGGAATGTTCTTCTGCGTCCAAAAGCATCTCTTGGTTATTTTATTGGACTGAAACCAATCAGCATAGATTTCAATTAGAACTGTCGACTTCCAATTGTTGCTGCAAAAAACAACAACAACAACTAGTGTGTTGCTGGTTTAACGTTTCTACAAACACTAACATCATAATTTAAGAAAAGGGACCTCCGAACAAAATGCCTACCTCCAATCGACTGAACCAAGAGTTTTGTGAGACTTATGGCCCGGTTACACGCACAGATAGATTGGACTAAAACTTGACGATCTCTCGATAATACGACAAATTATTAGTGAAACCTCAAAATTGTACAAAGTTTGGACGATTGGACGATGGCTTGAAGGCTCGGTAGAGAAATCAAGTGTTGTTGATATCTTTCGTGCGATCACGGTGAGATTTGGGGGGGACGTGCTGTGACGTAGAATCACTTCAAAATTAGACGCCGCGCAGGATTTAGCTTAGGGCGCAAAATCTAAAAAAAATATTTCATGGTCTAGAGATACAGCGTTCATCTATCATTTATTAGGTCCCAAGCTCGAAACTGACTGCCACGGATTTTATTTTCTTATCTAAAAGTATATTCTCTTTTTACTTCTCTCTTCTCTAATCATGTTCTTTCATCTTTAGGACGAGGAATCTCCCCAATCGAAAAAGAACTGGACGATTGATTGGAACGTGAAAAATAGACTACACAGCTCGATAAAACGGACAGCTCTTGCACACGACAAATATGACACAATTTATCGTTGCGTGTAGCCGTGTCTTTGGAACCTCGTAAAATAACAACAGTTCAAGTCCACTCTTCGTGGAATTCAGATCTAGGTCTTCCCTATAGGGATGGATAGTAAAGCATAATATTGTTTTTCCTTTTTGAAAGCATACATCTTGACTGGTCAACTGTATGCTTCCAATAAAATGGAGACTTTCAGAAAGCTATCAGGTCTACTGGGCTATTAATGCTTATTGTAAAGCGCATAGAGGATGAATTTGAGCGGGTATTTGCACTATACAAATGCTATTTATTAAGTATTATTATTAACTGAATTACTCCTATATAACCAGTAATTCTACTACAACGATATTTTTTTCCTTTTCACCTCTGGTAATTTAGATAAACAAAGTTCTGGTATGAAATGCACTCAAGTTGGAATTGTATTCCCTGTTCTGATAAAGAGTGACGTGTCAATCCACCCCATATTCACCCCGCACCCCCAAATTTTTGCTTGTTGTATTACCAGTGGCAAATTATTGATTAGATCTGCTGTTTTACTTCGAGTGAACATGCACCTATTTTGTGTATATCAAGCCTTCGAGGAAAGACTGTGAAACCCCCGGACGATGCTCGAGACGATGCACCTTGCCTGGCTTGCATACAAAATAGTTCCTTCATGCGTAGACCGCTTAACACATGTGCATTGAAAAGACAAATAAACAAAGTTAGGCCAGACTTTCTCCAAACAACACTGTCCTGGGCCGACTTATCTGTCAGTCACAATTCATAAGATCATTGTGACCCTGATGGATCACGAGCAAAGAAAGAACTGAAATCACGCGGGATTGTTCAGATCAAAATAGCAACATCGATGTACAAAAAAGAGCAACCGTTCACTTTGGAGAAGCAATTATTACAATAATACAGCATGCTGTTATACCACAAACAAAATATTCAAAATGACCTGTGGCAGACTTTGTGGCACAAACGTCTGAGCATCAGTCCCGAATACTAAAAAAAACAGAACATATTATCAACAAGTGATTGGAGATTTCCCTATGAATGCTCAGGTAACTTCAGATTTCTTCGGTTAACCACTGGCAAAATACCTGGCTATTTCACAAACTCCGTGATCAACAAATACAGCTACCCGTATACAGCATCATGAACATCGCTTTAATTTTCTTGGCTATATTGATATGTAAGTTAAATTATACTCTTTACTATGATGTGCTTTTATGTTTAAAAAAGAACACAACCAGGAGTCAAGATCAGCGGAGACTTAGTTTATTTACAGCCATGGGAGAAAATTTTGTAATCGCAATATAATATCATACACTTAATGTGCGTTTTGCCCCCCCCCCCCCCCCCAAACCAGTGCAGTGCCACTGACTGAAGTGTCTTTAGGCCATTCCCAAAGTGGGGATATTAACATGCTCGAATTATAAATGGGCTGACTTATCAATGCCATACCCATAGTGTGCCGAAACAACATAGGGGGAACTGCTGCTTATTCCTTCTTCATCCTTACTATCGTAATTTTCCTCTACTTCTTTTGTATTTTTGTCACTCTCTTGTGAACTGCTGTTTCCTGGGTGCCTTGATAATCGAAGCAGACTTTGTGCTGTTGAGGCTAG